GATATGTTTTAAGAAGAACAAGCACGTGCTCAGTCTGATATTCTGATTAGCATGCAACACTACTTACACGTGGATTCACTATTTGCTGTATTTCAAAGATACTACCCTGTATTGCGCTGGTGCTATTGGATTCCTTACCCAGACTGGAAAATTTCAACTATCTGAGATAAAAAAATGCTAAGACTACAGCCACTCTAGATGTACCAGTAGACTTTCTGAACAGTTCATGGCGTGGATCCGCCAACGGGTGGTTACTACTTTTGCAACCAACTTCTATGTATTTTCTTTTGTCAATTTTGCACGTACTTTCGCAGAAGATCAAAGAAGGAAAACCCAACCACGAAGATCTAAAAATTTGTATGAAGAAGAGAAGAAGGAAAAAAAAAAAAAAAAAAAATTCAATACGTGACGACAAACACACCATCAACACCATATACACCTGCCAAGTATGTCAGTTCAGATATTTAAAGACCAAGTTGAAGAAGACAGGGCTGAAAATGCTCGTTTATCTGCCTTTGTTGGTGCAATTGCTGTTGGTGATTTGGTCAAGACTACTTTGGGCCCCAAGGGAATGGATAAATTGTTACAGAGTGCAAGTAATCCAGATCACTCGATTGTCACCAATGACGGGGCCACCATTTTGAAATCTATTCCATTTGAGAATCCAGCAGCAAAAGTATTGGTTAATATATCCAAAGTGCAGGATGATGAAGTTGGAGATGGAACTACTTCAGTTACAGTTCTTAGTGCAGAATTATTACGTGAAAGTGAGAAATTAATTGACCAGAAAATCCATCCACAAACTATTATTGAAGGTTTTAGAATAGCTAGAAAACACGCAATTGATGCGTTGGATAAAAATGCTGTCAATAATGGGTTGGATCCAGCAAAATTTAGATTGGATTTGTTGAATATCGCCAAAACCACTTTGTCTTCGAAAATTTTGTCACAAGACAAACAACAATTTGCGACTTTGGCCGTTGATGCCATTTTAAGATTGAAAGGATCGACTAATTTGAGCCACATTCAAATCATAAAAAAAGTTGGAGGTAAATTATCCGATTCGTATTTGGATGAAGGTTTTATCTTGGAAAAGAAATTTGGTGTTGGACAACCCAAAAAAGTTGAAAATGCCAAAATACTTATAGCTAATACATCGATGGATACCGATAAAGTGAAAATTTTTGGAGCTAAATTTAAAGTTGACTCAACATCTAAATTGGCCGAATTGGAAAAAGCAGAAAAAGTGAAAATGAAAGCCAAGGTCGATAAAATCAAAAACTATGATATCAATGTTTTCATCAACCGTCAATTGATTTATGATTACCCTGAACAATTGTTTACAGATTCCAAAATCAATACCATCGAACATGCCGACTTTGATGGAGTTGAGAGATTGGCTTTAGTTACTGGTGGTGATGTTGTTAGTACATTTGATAACCCAACCACTACAAAATTGGGTCATTGTGATACCATTGAAGAAATATTGATTGGAGAAGATCCATTCTTGAGGTTTTCTGGAGTTGCAGCAGGGGAAGCATGTACAATCGTATTGCGTGGTGCCACTGATCATGTCTTGGAAGAGGCCGAGCGTTCATTGCATGATGCATTATCAGTATTGTCACAAACAACAAAGGATACCAAAACTGTGTTGGGTGGAGGTTGTGCCGAAATGCTCATGGCAAAAGCAGTTGATGAGGCAGCAGCCAACGAGACTGGCAAAAAGGCACTTGCAATTGAAGCTTACAGTCGAGCATTGAGGCAACTACCTATCATTTTGGCAGATAATGCCGGATACGATTCAAGTGATCTCGTCACTAAATTGAGATCTGCTATATATAATGGCATCTCAACGTCTGGTTTGAATTTGAATGAAGGCACCGTTGCAGATATGAGAGAATTGGGTGTTGTAGAGAGTTACAAGTTAAAGAAAGCGGTTGTAAATTCGGCAACCGAAGCTGCAGAGGTTCTTTTGCGTGTGGACAACATTATCCGTGCCAAGCCTCGTACCGCCGATAGAAACCACTAGCTTTGATACTTGTATAGAAAGATCTAATCACGAGAAGAAACTGTGGTGGCTTGTGTATCGCATGTATTGTTTCTCTCGCTTTATAGAACCCAAATTTTTCTGACCAAACAAATGAGAGCTTTATACGATTATGTAAGTCATCTGTTACAATAACAACCACCGCTACGCAGTACTGGTCGAGTAAATCATTCTGCGATTAGCAACATCATGAAGTACCGTACATATTTCCGGAAATAACTCTTGAACCTCTGGAAGATTTTCGCAAGAGCAACTCTGCGGTTAGTATCCACCCCAAGCGAGGAGATTCTTCTCCAATGTTTTTCAATATTCCTTGTTTTCTTTTTTTTTTTTTGTTTTTTTCTTTTTTACTTTTTTTTTCATCCAATGGTATCTTCAAAAGGTGTCCTAGTTCTTTAAGCCGATGCTACGATCCATCAGGTAAAGATAAAAGAACCGAACCTATACTATTGGAGAACCACAATTGATACACAATATCATTTACTGCAGTCACGCGCCACTTTCGTTAACATAAACTTTCCGCATTCACTATCATTACGGCAATGTCCAAGAATATAACCTCCGCGTCTTCGTACGTATCGAACGACTCATCAACAGAAGAGAACAAATACGCCAAAGACATTGTAATACCAGCAAAGCCCAATGACTACGAGACACTTTTTCGAAAGTTGGATATCGAAGAAAATGGGAGAATCACCTTTCGTGACTTTACCAAAGCAATGAGAAAACTAAAACACCCAATAAGTCAAGATTCCGAACTTATGAAAGAAGTATTCAACTCATTCGATGAAGATCAAGACAAGGTCATTGATTTCAATGATTTCAAAAAGTATTTGTCTACAACTGATGACCAAATATTGAAAGGTTTCAACAAAATTGACGAAGATAATGATGGGAAATTGAAAAAAGCCGATTTTGTCAAGTACTTGAAAGACCACTTGAACCTTGATGCTAGCCAAGTGAATGTTGACCTTCTTTTTAAAAGAATAGATTACAAAAACGATGGCTATATAACTTACGACGAATTCAGGGAGTTTTTAATATTGATGCCCCGTTTACATGGTTCAAGAATACGAACAGCATATACATTCGTTGTGGAGAATTTTGGAGTCAGTTCAGATGGTGATGTTACTTTAATCAACCAATTTCTCAATGGATTTGGGTTTTTCGTGGCAGGGGGGTTGGCAGGAGTCGTGTCACGAACATGCACTGCTCCATTTGACAGAATCAAGGTGTTTTTAATTGCCAGAACTGACTTAACCTCAACCATTCTTCGTTCAAAAGAAGAAATTGCCCATCAGATTGCCTCAGGGGCTCAACAGCACGTTATTGATCAGTTGCGTGCTAAATTGGCCCACGCTGAATTGGAAAAGCATATACAGCTGACTAAAGCCACAACTTTAAGAGAAAAGACCATTCGATCACCAATCGTGCAGGCAGCTCGAACGTTGTGGTTGCAAGGTGGGTTCAAGGCATTTTACGTGGGAAACGGATTGAATGTATTAAAAGTATTTCCAGAATCAGCAATGAAGTTTGGTTCCTTTGAAGCAGCAAAGAGATTTTTTGCTCGTATTGAAGGTGTTGACGATGTGACACAAATCTCTAAAGTTTCAACATATTTGGCCGGTGGATTTGGGGGTGTTGTATCTCAATTTGCCGTCTACCCAGTAGATACACTTAAATTCAGATTACAGTGTTCAAAATTGGATAGCTCACTACAAGGTAATGCGTTGTTGGTCCAAACTGCCAAAGATTTGTATCGTGAAGGGGGTATGCGCGTATTCTATCGTGGAATAATCGCTGGTGTCAGTGGTATATTCCCGTATGCTGCTCTAGATTTGGGTACTTTTCAAACGATAAAGACATGGTTAATAAAAAGAGAAGCAAGAAGATCAGGGTTGAGTGAGGATGAAGTGAAGTTGCCCAACTATATTGTGTTGTCTTTGGGTGCATTTTCAGGATCATTTGGGGCAACTGTCGTTTACCCTATCAACTCTTTGAGAACAAGATTACAAGCACAAGGAACTTATGCTCATCCATATACTTATACCGGATTCTTTGATGTTTTCAAAAAGACAGTTGCAAGGGAAGGATATCCTGGGTTGTACAAGGGATTGGTACCCAACTTGGCAAAAGTAGCCCCTGCTGTCTCAATCTCATACTTTGTATATGAGAATTTGAAAAATTTGTTTGGACTACAAAATCAGGTCTAAGAATGAAGCGTATATAATGATATACATGTCTATTCTAAATTATTTCTCAGTCATTTAATAGCTCGTAAAGTTTCGTTAATGAATCCACATAGAATTGAGGTACCAACAGGTCATCACCACGTTGATGATTAGTACTAGCAATCAACTCTTTCAACTCAGGAACCGTTGTTACCCCAGACAATACAAGCAAAGTACCATGTCCATTCCCCAAATTTGCATCGTTGCCAAATTTTATATCAGAAGATAACGTGTCACCAATCATTGTAGTCCTCGATCTATCAAATCCAGTATCGTAAAATATAATATCGGCAAATGTCTTGCTAGGCTTACCAACATTAATATAACTTCGCCCAGAGCAGTATGACATATACTCAACGATACTTCCACCAGCGGGGAGTGTCAAGCCCTCAGGTCCGGGGTAATTTCGATCACCATTTGTTCCAATATATGGTATTCTCTTGTTGTCATACATGAGGTATTGTAGCGTAGTGGCAATACGCATAAAGTTGAACTCATTAGTCGAACCAGCAACGACTGCCTTCACCTCAGGATCAACTTTCAATAACGGATTCTTGGGATTCCACGATTGGTCCAATAACGGATTCGATCCACCAAGTGGGATATACCCTTCATCACTCAATTCGTCCTCGATCCCAGAATCACCCAATACCCAAATTTTAGAACCCTGACGAATCCCCATTTTCTGCAATTCCAACACTGCTGAATACCCTGTTGTATAGACGCGATCTTTATGTATACCATGAATACCCAAGTTTTCAAATTTGGCGATGTAAGATCGACGCGATTTCGATGAGTTGTTGGTGACAAATGCAATTTGTTTCTTTTGCTGCTGTAATAACTGAAGGAATTGAGTTACTTTAGGGATAAGGGTTTCCGCCAACCAAATTACTCCATCGCAGTCGATGAGAAAATTGTCAAACAAGTCAAGTAGCAATTTGGCATCTTGTGTAGTATTTATAGGGGAAGGGTTGGCTTTCTTGGTCATTTTTTTTTCGGTAATTGGAAAAGTAGTGGGGCTAAGATAATTGGTGAAGACGAATTTAGGGTGATTATTTCGTGCCGTTTATATATTGTGATATTCGCAATCAAAGCCTCTCGTTTCATGTCATCGGATTTACTAACCTCCGGCTTCTTTTTTTTTAGTCCCGTTAGTGTCACAAAAAGGAAGAAAAAAAAAAAACAGAAGACTTGCATAGAGATATGCTGCATCCTTCGGTTTCAGCCCTCCGGAAGTTGGCCAAAGACTGAGTAGTCAAAGCTCGGTGATGTTCCAACCTCGGACGCAACACCATTACGCCATCTCACTTCCAGATTCCTGCGACACCCTGTTCCATTTTGACGCGGGGGTCGAAATATACAGAAATAAGGTTTCTGCAACGCGAAACCTCGGGGATAAGAATTCAAACCGATATCATGAGTACGCACTGACCCAAGGATATCATTAATTTGTCTTTTGGTTGCACAACTAGTTCAACTACTTCTCCCCATCCAGTGAATGAGCTGGTCCTGTAAGCTTTATCACCATCTTGTATCCATTGGATATCTTTTGGCACAATGATGACCTTTTCTGATGTTTACCAGTGGTTGCTAGTGTGACTTTTGCTGGTGGTGGCGGTTGTTGCTGCTGACGATGGGTCGGATAACGTTATTGAGATTGAATGGTGGTAAATGGATGAATTTGTTTTGAAATAACATTTGTTGACGGACTCCACTTTTGATTCGTTATCAAATTGTTGCCAATTATCTACTGCTGTGGCATAAAGCATGCTTTCCAAATCACGGATCGCCTGCCTTTTTGAAGGCAAGTGAACGTTTCAACTCTGTCAAATGTTTAATGAGTTCACGGTCGTGGGCCAGATCTCCCATAGTCGTAGCATCCACAATGATTCCACCACGCGTGTATCCTCGCAATTTTTCATCTTTATTCACTGATTGTGTGACCGATCTGATACTAGTCAACACTTTTCGAAACACCATCAAGTCCAGTGATTTTACTGAGGATGGAATGGAAATCTTTGATGGTTGAGACAAGTTGGCATAAATGCTTTGAAGAATGGGCATCATCTTGGATTATGTGACCGCGGAGTCATTATCGAAAAGTATACGGTTGAGGGTGCGCTTTGCTGGTAGGATTGAGCGTAGATCCGGTCTCGGTTGAATAGATGAGCTGCTGGCTGCCTGGATAAATCGTAGCATCGCGAGTGGGGACAGAACAACGAGACTTGCAGAGGTGTACAGAGACAAACTTTGAACAATTGTGATTTTTCAATGTCTNAGAGACAAACTTTGAACAATTGTGATTTTTCAATGTCTCTTCTGTGGGCAATGTCGCACTTTAAGAATAAGTGACACTGAATACTTCAACAAACGAAAAGGGATATCTAGTGAAGCCCAATCTCTCTTTGTTGAAGAACAATGAATTAAATACTACATCATCAATGGAATACAAGTAGGATACAGACTTGAACAGACTCAGTATATATTTCATACATCTACACAAGACTCTACAGGAAAATCAAGCAGATCACGAACTGAACAAAATATATATTGACACAATATTTGAGAAGAAACCTTCTAAATGTATACAATACAACGTATGTGATGATACTAACTTTTGAAGTAGTTGGTGGTCCAAAGGTGGAAGGAAGTTCACTCAAATAGAAAAAAACAAAGCGGAGTACGACAATGACACGTGTGTGGTGATTAAAATAGTTAAATTATACAGTGATAAAAGCGTATAGTGTAAGTTTAAATGTCGAATTTCCAATCAACGGAGTGGATGTTGAATTATAGAAGAAAAATAAGTGGAAAATCAAAACAGTGTTTGTTGAAGAATTATTAAAACTGATGAATCGAAAGAAGCTGTTGAATTGAACCTTGTTGTAGTTTCTAGTTGAAATAAACTTGCCTTGATCAAAGTAGAATCGGCAAACAAAAACAGACTCCAGAATAGCGTCCCATTACTGCTTTTCTGCTCTTCAAAAATGCCACCACCGAACTTACTTGTCATTCGCAATAACCTAAAAGTCAATGAATTCAAGATTGGTTGACTGAAACTCACTTGGAGTTACACCATTGTCACCACCACTAGTGAAATTGACATTATCGAAGTCGTTACTGCTCAAACATACCAAGTTCTCGGATATCCCAACGTACTCAGAATCAGCGTGGTGACCGATTACATGAACATATCCAGTTGAATCGTTGGTCTGTCCGGATTTTGCTGGCCTGGACGATGATGAGGATGATGATGATGATGTGCCGTCAATAAATGCGTGTAGTTGATGATCACTTGACAATGAGAGTACATCTTCGGGCGACGTCGTTGTCTTTGTACTGTTAAAATGCAAAGGGTCTAGTTTGTTGCTGGTAACGAAATTTCCAAACGATTGTGACGATTGTGGGGTATCTGCCAGGTACAACTGGTTCGAAGTAGTTGAAAACGGCAGACCGTTGAAAGTAGTGACTGCAGTAGCAGTGGAAGAGCTTGGCGCGGAGATGTTGTGTCGTGACATGGAGGAAAAGTCGTTGCTGTTGTTACTGTTGTTACTGTTATTGTTGACAATGTCAGTATCCAATGCTAATGATGACAAGTCATTAGGCCATATTGAGTGCAAACCCTGTCCGCTATGGAATGGAATTCCAAGATCGAGTGAGTGGTGCTTCATTGTTGATGTTTCTGTTTCTGTTGATGTTGATGTTGCTTCTGCTGGCGCCGATATTGAAGGAGGGATACCAAATTTGGAAACTGATGCATGGGTTGGATTTGACTCGTTGTTGAGGTTGTTAATGTGGAGGTTGTTATCTGCCAAACCCACTATGCTCTGACTTATATACGTACTGAGATAATTAAGGGCAATTTTTGATCCAACAAGGACATGAGGTACGTCAGAATTACCATTATCTTCTTCATCTTCCTCATGTTCTTCTCCATTACTGTCATATTTCTCGTCTTGGCTTGATGTAGTTGGTTCAAAGTCCTTGAATTTGTACTCAGCGTCAACTGTACTTGAGTAAGCCCGACTCACTTGTTGTCCTTCACTGAAATCATCACATATCGACCATTGGTTCGTGGTTGAGTTTAAGCCATTGAAGAAATATACCGAAAACTTGGGTTGATGGCATAAATGGATTTTCAATTCATTGTTATCCAGGTTCACCAAGTTATCATGTAATGAGCAACGTGATATAGCAGATATTGGGTAGAAAATCCGAAATAGTATTTTGGAATCATTGGAAGTGGCCAGAAAGAAGTAATTCAATTCATGGTTCTTTCTTGAAAGGAGGACTAGTAAATCAACTTGTTGCATAACATTATTAAGATTGAATGGTGATAGATTGATCAAATTGTTTTGAAGCAACAGTTGTTGATGTATTCCACTTTTGATTCGTTGCCATGACCCTACTGATAGTGAAGTACAATCTATAAATGAATATTTTTCATTTATCTCGATCGGCACGTGTTTTTGTATGAAATCAAACGTAGTATGGTGAGCTGCCAATTCTTTCCCAAATGAGCTGCTGCCACCAGGACTGAAATTTGAGTAGGATGAAGATGCTGACGATACTGATGAATGGCCCTGTCTTAAGCTCCTTTCGTATTTTTTTTGTTTAGCTCTTCTATTTTGAAACCAGATCCTCACTGCTTTTTCATTCATTTGTGCCTTTTGACTAATATATTTTCTACGATCCGGGCTGGGACTAGGGTTGTTTTCAAACTCCAGTATTAGAAAGTTTAATACTTCACCACTGGCTCTTACACGCTTTTGAGTTGGGTTGGTGGGTGCGGAGTTGTTGACTATGGTGGCCGTAGGGGAAGATGTAGGTATGTTACCATTGGCATTGATGTTGAAACTGAAATTGTTTCTAGGGCTGATAGTAGTTTCGGGCATGGTAGTAGTGGATTGCTATGTGATTGAAAGTAGCAAATGTAACGTAGTAGTAATAGTAGTAGTGGTAGTGGTAGTATATTTTGCCCTGTAAACAATGATAATAGTATAGTAAGAATATTACTATAGTAAGGGTCTTTGGAAATTTTTTCTTGTAGAGGTGACAGTTTAGCAGATGCGAAAAATGATTATGATTGGAGATGTCTTAGCTTGGAGGGAGTAGTCTTTGTTTGTTGTACTAGCTGGGATGGAATGCTTTTGTTTGTAGTTACAGTTGTATATAAGGTGTGTCTGTAGTACAATGAATGTGTGATTTATTAGGCTGCACTTGTATTAGGTAGTAGTAGTACTAGTAGTAGTTTTGGGTAGTATGGTTGAGTGCAGTATTGTATTTTATATGAACATTCGAAATGACTCCTTGTAGGTTGAAGTAAGGATATGGTTGATATCTAATTTTTCAAAAATTTTCAGACATCTAAACCTTCTGTCTAAGTATATATATATACCTANTTTTTTTTTTTTTTTTTTTTTTTTTTTTTTTTTTTTTTTTTTTTTTTTTTTTTTTTTTTTTTTTTTTTTTTTCTTCTTCTTTTCTGCTTTATTTCTTTTTTTCTTTTTCTTCTTTTTTTGTGTTCTGTTGTGTAGTTTTTGACCTTTTTTCTCTTTGTGTAATAGTTGTGATGTTTTAGATGGTGTGCAATGTAGGCTTTTTACGAAGGATAATAATAGAAAGTTTATTATTACTTGTGGCTAACAAAAAAGGATTAACAGCTCAGTAGTAACGTAGTATTTGGTCCACACAAAAAGACAGATTATGATTGTTTTTTTAGCATTATTGTTACTGGCTACTTACTGCTCTAGTATGTCTTCCAAAACTTAGTATGCCAGTACAGAGCAGTATCTGATGAAGATACGTTTTTGTCGGGTGAAGGCACCGACTTGCGTCATCTACAAACACACACATATATATATATATGTATACATATATGTGACTTCTTATTTGCTTTGTCTTTTGATATACACTTCTGTTTTGTGTTGTAGAATGATTACCGGGAGATTATTCTTCAGTTACAATAGAATCCAATATGTACACCCCCAGTTGTAGTGTACACAAAAAAGAAAAGAAAGAAGTGTATATACACATGTATGCACAAGATATAAAAATATCATTAACAACAGCAAAAACTAACCGATTTTTGCAAACTGCTTTTGTGTATGTCTTTTTGATGTCTTTTCTTTTCTTTTTTTTGTTTTTTTTGTTTCTTTCGACGACATTCTTAATTTTTTAGCCTTCAGTACTCAGTAAATCCGATCTCTGTGTTTGCTTATTTCCTGTAAACGGAAAAGAAAGTGGGATTATTCTCTTTTTTTTTTTTTTAAGGTTTTTAGTTGAACAACAACAACGACACTAACAGTAAAAGAATGTCATTCACCGCCCTGAAGAGAAATCCTCAAGCCACCACCATAAGCAAACACATAATAACAACTTCTGATAGGCTATATATTCTTGCCATTGCTAGTGCTCTCCATTGTCTTCTTCTTCTTCAATGCGACAAATAAAAAAAAAATAAAAAAAAGAAATAAAATAAAATAAAATAAAAAGTCAGTTGATATAATATGGATAAATAACCGACTGGAACCTATCCGAAAAGAAAGCAACTCGAGACCCCCTTACTACTAGCAACTCTCTTACTACTTACCAACCACTTCTTATCCTTTGAATTACTAATCAAGTCAATCGCACTCAAAACAAGTAACTACGCATAAAGTTTGGTCACGATTGCAAGTTGCAACCACCACCTCCAGAGTTACCGCACTACAAACATCACAAGATAAGATGCATGCTTTTACTGTATAAGTTTTTTCCCCTTGAAACGTATTGCTTAGTCACAAAAAGTTCTTGTAGTATTGGGATTTGATTGATCTGTACTGCTCTCAGCTTGATATTAAGTGGAATGCACATACGACTCACGATAGCCAGAGCCTGTAGGAAACAGGGGTTATGATGCAAGTCTATCCTCTCTCTTTCATAAACTCCATGTAAGGAACAAACAAAAAGAAGAAAGGAATAGAAACTAAGGAGGTTTCTTGACACACGCACACACACACATACTCATGTATGAGCACACCCCTTGGATGAAGATGCAATATGACGTATTTTTTTTATCTCTCTCCGATACTTCTTTGTTGTCTAGTATTTTTGCTTAAGGTTGCTATTTCTAGACAAGAGACACTGATGACTACTTTTTTCCTTCAACCTCAAGTGGGAAGGGGGGGGAAGCCTCATAGAGCGTGGGGCGATAAAACGCTTCATGTAAGTGTGAAATAGGTTCAAAGGTTTGGCCAAGAAAAAAAAATTTCATAGAGTATAGTGTTTACAGAGAGAGAGATAAACTTTATAAAAAAAAGTCTGACTAAAAAAGGGAATGCAGAGAAAAATAATGCACGACATTTAAACTACCACTAAAACCCTTCCAAAGACACACATACACACAGACAAACAGACACACACAGACAGACAAACAGACACACACAGACACACATACCGTTTGTTCAGAATTACTACTATTACTGGAAGAGATTGCTGTTACCAAAAAATAATAACAAAAGCGATTACTCTCACCTGGCAGTATGTCCTATTTAACGATGAGCCAAGCCATTTTCTATTAGATCAATGTCAAATACATACATTGATTTGGACATTGCTTTTGTTCTTTGTTCAGTTTTCTGTCTCTTTGTTTTATTGTGTTTTCTATTTTATTTTTGTTTGGGTGAAATTCGACACGACACACTACCTTTGTACTTAACAAAAATAAAAAAATAGCAGACCAAAACCAAGTTACACAAACATAACAAACATATATTTTTCACTTCTTTACACAAAGGACACACAAAACCAAGAAAGAGAAACTGAAACAGCACACATACACACATATATACACACACACATACACACACACGGGGAATGTTTTTGAAAAGACTCAAAACACTATACACGTATTCATTTTGTGTATGTCTCTCTCTCTTTGGCTCTATTCAGTTTTGTCCTGTTCGATCTCTTTAGCATCTCGTAGATTTATATGTCTCTTACACAATATCCTTTGTCAAACTACAAACCATCACCCATGACAAATTACTAAAACAATACATGGTCAGTCTTGAAGTCCACGCAATCCAATTTAGGCTTAAGACTTTTTTCTGGTAATTGCCACTTCTCAGAAGTATTTGAGCTTCAGCTGAATGGGTTAAATCTAACGCTTATCTGTATAGCTTATAAAGAAGAGACACTTTTGCCGCAATACATTTTGCAGTCTCTGTCTATTTTTTTTTTTTTTCATTTTTGTATTGTTGATCCCAAATGTCGTTTATTGTTTGGTAAAAGAAAAGAAAAGGAAAAAAAAAAAAAAGACCTTTTACATCATACTCACTTGAAACAATAAAGCTTTGAGGTAAAGCAATGGTTAGAAGAGGGTGAAGGGAAACAAGAGCAAGAACACGAGCAAGAGCAAGGCGACTGGATAAAATTCTAAAGCTTATATTGTAGTTCACTATGACAAATGTACAAAAGAGAAGAAAATACTTTTAGGCTTTTCTGACCAGAGCTAAGGCGGACTTGCACCAACTACGACAACTAACCACTGCTTTTTTCAATGACGGCGAGATTAATGTACATCACACCACGCAATCTTCTTTGCCTGGGATCGTCAAGGCGGGGATAGGTTATGAGAATCAAAAGATTTGACTTTATGCAAAGAAAGTGTCTAGTTTTTTTTTATTTTCTTTCTTCTCTGTATATTCTATCCTTTCAAACAAACAATAGCGCCTACACTAACAAACAAGAACAAAGTATAATGTAATTCTTCATCTTGAGTCCAGATTTGGGAAAGGAGGCTAAAAAGAAAATGTGAACAAAACAAAACAATACGATTGCTTGTAAAGCTTGTGATGAATGTGCAATTGTATGTCCTCCATTTGTACATGTTCGATCTGAAATTCGTCTTGCCGCTTTCAAATCAGCACTGTTGCGGGAGGGGGGGGGGGTGGCGGAAGTTCCAGAACGGAAACTGTTTGAACACAGAAAAGAAGAAACGGACTCAACTCAGGTATATAACCGAAATGCTTTAGAAAAAGCAAGAGAGAAAACATAAAACGCTTGCCCCCGTTCCCCCTCCCTATGGCTATCTTCTAAAAAAGATAGGAACAGGAAACACTGGTTTTCCCCGGAGTTGATATCTGCAGAGGAGAGCTTCTCATGTGCAAATAATCACACACACACACACACACACACACACACACACACTAACTTGAAAGTTGCTAATGGTAAGATGTACGGGCTTTTCCCAGTGGAGATGCATGCAACGCAATGACTCAACATCTCTCTTGCAAAATTGGAAAATACATTATCCATCTTCCCAGTTGGCAATGCACCCCCATAGGATTAACACCCTCAAAGTAGAGTTTGGAGGACAAAAGTGAAAAAAATAAAAAAACAAAAGGAGGGATTGTGAAAAGGCGGGCGGGTTTGTCAAAAAAACAAAAATAAAATAAAATAAAATAAAATAAGAAAAATAAAATAAAACAGTTTCCGATCGACAACGGAAAAAAATGAATAATAAAAATCAAGAACAAGAGAACAATAAGTGATGAAAGAAGTTCGCTCAAGTGCACTACCCTTCTCTCTCTTCCTCTTTGTGTTGTTGAGGTTGTTTCCAAAATTCTCGCATCAATTACATCGCTCATCTTTCAACTGTCCTTTTTTTTTTTTTTACACCCCCACCAGCACCAGCACCTACGTGTTAACAAAGCGTTGGCAGCTTTTTGTATTTTGTATCTTGAGTTACAAAGTATAGGGAGAACTCTTTGTGGAGATAAAAACACTTTAGCCCCGTCCCGTACTTGATCCTTGCCATGCCCGCAGCATTTTTTGAAAAAAAGTTTTCTTTCTTAGTGCTCTCTCGTCAAATCAAGAGAGAAAGGGTGTGTGTGCATGTGTGTGCATGTGT